CACGTAAACTGATTTGTGCAAATCCTGTCAGCTTTTCCACTTTGAAGTAATACCTGAGGTCAAATAATGGAAGCGATTAAGTCCTTCAGCCAGAGTCAGCCAGTAATTCAGAGAGCTGCATTGTTTTTACTGATGATACAAGGATAAACTCGAATTATCCTGTATCTATTAAAAGCAAAATAAAAGTTTTAAGAGACCTATGAAAAATTAAAATACCAAATAAAAACCTTTCAAAAGGAAGTTTTCTATTTTGATTTTGCAGTAGATACAGAAACTCTGCTCAAAGAAATGATTCTTTTTCTCCATGTGCTTAGAAAAGACAATTGTTCTAATGCTAAATCTTTATTCAGTCAAAATACGCTGGGATCTGCTGTGGTTAAAAATAAGTATTAGTAGTTTTAAAATAGTGGCTTAACATAACAAAATTTTATTTTTTGATCATGCAAAGTCACTGTGGGCCCAGCTGCGCTCTATGTAGTCGCTCAGCAATTTAAGGCCGCTTTGATCTTGCGGCTCCACCATTTCAACTGGAGGCCTCTTCCACCATGCCAAGGAGAGGAAAGGAGTTCGTCACTGGTCTGATCTAGAAGTGGCACACACTATTTCCACTCCTGTTGACCTGGTCAAAAGTAGTCCTGCCTACTTAACAAGGGGACTTATACCAGGAAAGAAAGGTCAGATATTGGTGAGCACTAACAATGTCTACCACAATTCTTATATTTACATGATATCAAGGCTGATTGTGGAATGCTAACTCTCAACTCAGAGCAATTCTGCTAAGGATCTCTGAGGACTGAAATAAAATCCCTATCTGATGGCCTAACAATTCTGCCATAGATTTTTGGAGAATCTGGTAAGAAATACAAATAGTTAATATGCTAATCAAACTGGTTATTTCAAATATCCCAACTTCAGTAGGCTGACAAGTGACAGATGAGCAATAATGGCATGTGTCTTTAATTCTCTGACAAACAGCCATAACTGAATAGGTGTTGTTGTAGGTTAAAATGAAAACCGTGTACTTCAGATGCCACATCATTATGGTGTGAAAGTTTACTATGTGCATTCACACTTCTCATCAGCAAAGATGGGGGCGGCAGCAATTCTATCAGAAAAGAGCTCCAGGTCTTATCAAATACTCATAAGTACTTGTTGAGATTCCAAAGCCAAGCTGTGTGAGATAACTTTAGTCTGGAAAAACAACAGGATGTGCACCTGACTTCTTCACTCACAAATAAAAATAATTTTTAAAAAAGAAAGAAAAACTGTCTTGTATCAGAGACATAAAAATGAATTCCTTATCTTCTCACTTTTTCCTAACCAACCAGTTGTGGTCAAGTAAATTCCAACTCATGGTGACCCCATGTATGTCATAACAGAACTGCACTCCATAGGGTTTTCAATGGCTGTAATCTTACAGAGGAGCCCTGGTAGTGCAGTGGTTAAGCATTTGGTTGCTAACTAAAAGGTCGGCAGTTTGAATCCACCAGCCGTTCCTTAGAAATCCTATGGAGCAGTTCTACACTGTTCTGTAGGGTCACTATGAGTCCATTTCCTTAAAAACAAAACAAAAAAAAACCACTGCCATCGAGTCAATTCTGACTTATGGTAACTCCATGTGTTAACAGAATAGAACTGCTCCACAGGGTTTTCTTGGCTATAACCTTTATGGAAGCAGAC